AGGAGCTGTCCTCTGCTGAGTGTGCTGTTGGCGTCTTTCTACTTTTTCAGCTTTTCCTAGTGCTTTCTTGACCATTTTTGGTACGATGGTGTCATGTTTCTCCTCAGTCATCTTTTCTAGAGCTAAACGATGCCAGGAGGTTACTTCCTGTTAACTGCCGCCATGGGTCTAGGCAGTTCCCCTTTTCTCTTACAAGTCACAGGGCTCAGAACTAAAAATATTCGAAGGGTAAATCCAACAGTGAGTAAGGCAGTTCTGATGTGCCATTAGCCTTTTATTGAAAGCCAGAATTACCCTTCATATTCAATGAATCTAATGCTATTTGTGCTGGAAAAATAAAGACCATGAATAGAATTATTGAAAGAGGTAAAGTTCAAGTTAGGAAGGCTTTTCATTCGTTTCCTCTAGAACACAATACCGTTACAGACATTCTGGGACAAACCCTTTTACTGGTGTTGACTTTTTCTTTTTCACAGCAGTGGACTTTGTATTATAAGCTGTAATATTCTGTAATACCTGTGATGTTGCTCTATGCCGCTGAGTTGGCACACTCTTCTCGCTGACCCTCCAGCAAGTGTACATCTAAGGCCGCACCTCCGACAGGAGACTGTCCACCTTTCTCCCAAAGAGCAGCTGCTCAACTCAAACGGCATGACTTGGAGACACAGTTCCTAACCTCATACATTTGTTACTCTAATTTACGATTTTTCTTACAGAGGGAAAAAAGGCAGTTGAGAATGAAGAATAGCCTCACATCAAGATCAATGTCTCATAGTTTATTTCCAAGATTTTTTACTATTTCAATTTGAAGTGAGAGGAAAGGAATGTTCACATTTGCTGAGCATTTATGTACAGAGGATTAAAGATACCACTTACACATGTGCATGCAAAAAGCCATGCAAATTACGCTCCACCCTGATTGCGCAGAGCTTCTGCTTGAAAGCAACTTGAGCATGGCAGCACTGGAGGTAGGAAAAAAAGAAACCCCCCTGGGTTGAATAACTTCGGCTGCTGAGATCAGTGCATCCATCTTCACTGTAAAGTCCTGGGCTCCTGCAGGACGCCAACACAATTTCTCATCTGATTTTCATACCACACACCTTTTCTATGTCACTGTCTATCCTGGGCTGAAAATACATTTTGGTACCTAGTGTCAGGTGGGAGGCATGATATGAAAAACAGAGTCCAATGGTCAGAAACCCTAGACTCAAATATATACTCTGCCTCACAATGTGTGACTTTCAGGAGTTCACTTAGCACCTTTAACCCAGTCTGTACAAGAGTGAAGACTCAGCAGCCCTTCCTCGTCAAGCAAGGAGAGGGAACGTGGTAATGAATGTAAGAGCATCTCTATCAGATACTAAATGTTTCATGAATCTGAATGCTATCTGAGCTCTATCCTAAAGGAGAACCAGCCGACTCCTCAGCACACAACCTCCTCAGCACACAACGGCATAAGTACATGAACGGGAGCAGTCCGGTCCCAGGTATGGTAGCCGCCACAACTAACGTAAATACACCAGCACGGTCAGGTGCTCGGTGACATTCAAGCTGGTTCAATTCAAAGTTACAAATTCAATTACCTTCCCTACACACACACGCACACACACTCTCTCTCCCCCCATCCCTAAAACTCAATAGTGATGCACCCTGAAACCCTCAAATCAAAAACAAGAGGAAAGCAAGCTCCTCTGAGGGGCATCATCACCATGGGTGTGGGGCTTACCCCTCACACAAGAGCCCCACAAACTGTGTGCTCCAATGATCCCCCTTCTGAAAATGAGGGTCCAAGACACAGAGACCACTCTGCCCAGGATCGTGGGGCTGGTCAGTGCACAGCTGGGGTGTGAACGGTTTGCAAGCAGGCTCCATCAGACCCCACTCTGCTGTACTACACCCCTGAGAGAAAGTACACTCAGAGTTTCATAACCGAGGCTGGGATTCAAAACTTGAAATAGTCCCTGCTACTCACATCGAAAGAACATGCACGTCTATAGACACTTTTTCAGCATGGGAACCTTCTCAACTTTGTCTGATCCTAGCCATCCCTATTACAGGGATCCTCACTCATCCCTTCAACATTAACCCCAATTTACAGGCACAGTTAACTCAAGGATGGTGAGACTTCATGTCCTAGGCTGTGGCCATGACATCAGGAGGGACTAGATCATGGAAAAGGACAAGATGGACCACCCCAGTGACCGCCACTCGGGGCTTAAGGGAACCGTTTGAGTGTGATGTGGGAATGGGCAAGATACAGTTTTGATGAGGAGGAGACTCAACAGCCCCTAATAACAGTAACTGGGCTTGAAGTTACCAACCATCTGTCATCCTGTCGTCGTGGTTTGTGTGCTGCTGCAGCATTTCAAATAACAGCAGGACAACTCAGGCTGGGTGGTTTCAGTGATGCTTTCAGACCGCGACAGACTAGGATCAATGAAAACCCTATGGACAGCAAACCTGGTCCAGTGCTCGAAGGCGAGTCCCCGAGGCTAGGTGCCCTCAAAACACACGACGGCTGCACGAGTGGACTTGAGCACACATTTAGATGGTGTTCGACCAGGTGCTGTTCTACTCTATTTGTCCCCAGTGTCACCATCCCTCAGGACTAACTCAAATCAACTAACCACAACAGCAAAACTCAAAGACACTTACAAAACATGCAGAGGACCAGGAATTTCTGACATCATGTTCTGGTCAAAAATTCTGCCTTTCATCTGTCCAAAGGAAAATCAAACCCAAAATTTGCATTCTATGGATTTCTTAAATTTGGAACTCAATCATAAAACTTGGCAGTGTGTATAAAAATTTTTAAATATATGTGTACAGAGAGAGCAAACACACAAAAACTCAGACTCGATACAAGCTTATTTCCAGGATCTCCTACAGGAATACGAACACAAGCGTTTTAGGCCATTTGTGTGAAGATGTTTACATCAGCAGTGTTTACAACAACCAACACAAAGCCAACCTGAGTATCTACCAGTAGGTGAATGACTAACTAGATGATGGCACAAGTACACGGATGGGACACCGCGTAGTAGTCACGGAAAAGAGTGAGGTAGCTCTAAATACACTGAGATGAACAGTGGAGGAATAAGTCAAATAAAAATGAGTGACAGTATTTGTAGCATGGTCCCTTTTAAAAAAATTTTTTTTTCTTCTTTCTTCTTAATAGCATATATATCGTTTGAAGAAAGAAGGACCATGCTACAACGTTATTACAGACCATCAAGCTGGAATTACTTCATAGCCAACTTTCCAGCAGGTTTTCAGAGACAAGAAATCACCCAAGAGGAGACTGCCCATCTTTCTCCCATGGAGGAGCTGGTGGATCCAAACCACATACCTTTAGAATAGCAGTGCAATTCCTTAACACTAAGCTATTGGAGCTCCCTATTTATAAGCATGTGAGATAAATACACACACACACTCATGTATGATCTCACATGCATATACATACTATTTATACACACGTGCATATATGGGGGGACAGAGCACGTGTGTGTGTGTGTGTGTGTGTGTGTGTGTGTGTGTGTTTGTGTGTGTAAATTCACCGCTCCCAAGTTGGAATCAACCTTCCAATGTGTTTTCTGAGGCTATGAGTCACAATACAGGAATGTGCCCATCATTCTCCCATGGTGCCATATCAAAGCGCCTTGGGTTAGCAGCGCAATGCCCTACTGACTGTGCTGTGAGCTCCCTCAAGTGTGTGTATGTGTATAAATAAATTTATCTAAATACAAAACATAGTAGAAGTAATAGAAAAGGGTCTTTCTGGGAGAACATATAAACTCAAAGAGTAGAAATAACTTTATTACCTATTCTAAGTTAGTAATTTATCTTTGAAATTATTTTGAATTTTTTTGCAATAAATGGATTTAAGAAATACATCATTTTCTAAATAGGAGGAATAAAATGTAAGCTTATTTCTCTCACTTACAAATGTTTTAGTACACAGTTAGGATAACACTATCACAAAATCCTCTTCTGAAAACTTTCAAGATGCTAAACTAGTCCTTTCAGAGACGTCTAAAGGCTAGCTCACAATGCCTCCATTTTCTTAATTATGTATAAAAACTTCTATAATTAAAATCTCTTAAAAGGTTTTGTAATGCATTTTGAAAGGAAGTAAAACAAACACTTGGACACAAAAATGACCAAGCTAACTAACACAGCTGTGCTACTACACTTGATTAAAAACTGGTCCTACTTCCTAATAATTTAAGAGATGAAAAAGTTTAGTGGCCAAATAGAAATACCTATTATTTGTTGAGAAATAATCGTCAACTTTGTGCTCCAACTCAAATTTGGCATAATTACATCAGTCACAAGTCAGACACAAACTGCTGCCTCAGAATAAGAACCTAAAAGTACCGTAGCCAGATAGCTATGACATCATTTATTAGACGTTCTGGAATGAACCGGGGTCTTCTGAGGTTACACACAACACACCTTTGCACAGGTCATTTTATTCTCTCCTGTGGGTGCTGGCAGTGCTTGCAGATTGTACTTGGAAACATTCAGAATGCACAGACCTCAATATTGTCACATCTCTTCACAACACAATTTAATAACTACTAAACAATTATGTCTACTAAATACACTGGACAAAAATGGCATAAATGTTTACACCATCCCCCTGTAAACAAGGGCTCTGTGCACAAGATAACACATGAATTAATAATGCATACCACAATATCAATGAGGGAAAGACCATCACTTTAAATAAACTATTCTGTTTATAAATAAACTCTGATTTGTTTTCCTTTTGTTTAGCACACATTTACAGACCTGATCAATTAAAAGAAACAATACATAAAATATCTTCCTCTGAAAATAAAATGTTGAGAAATGGACCACTACGAGAGAATTCCGGTAGGAAAAACAGATAAGAAGCAAGCAGAGGCTGAGGAAGTGGAGAGGACTATCATACTGCAACCTATTTCTGTTCGCATACCCCAACACAAGGACAAGAGTGGCTGGCCAGGAGCCTGTTTTTACTTGAATTCCAGCAAGTTGCAATCAATCTTGTAATACACATAGGGGTAGTATTCCTGTTGACTGAGGTTTAAGCCTGGAATATCCATAGGAGCCTGTGGAGAAAAATCAGACAATTATTCAGTTACGTAGTTACAAAAACAAATGACCACTTAACCTTCTTTATCAAACTACTACTCTACAGTCAATTTATACACCAATTTAACCTAAGTTAGGTGGTATTATCTCCCATTTTTCAAGTAGAGAGCTCTGGTGGCTTAGTAACATGGAACTGCACTGCAAAGGCAAACCAGCCACTCCATGTAAGAAAGATGGGTAATCTCCTCCTGTGCGATTAACTGTCTTTGAAAACCTGCTGGAAGGTCAGCTATGGGTCAGTTCTGACTTGATGGTACACAAAACAATAACAATTTTAAATTTGGTCAGGAAGGCTGATCATGGCAAGCAGGGCCAGATTTTGCTCTCCTTGACTTGAAAGCCTGTGTTTTAGAGTAGGCCTCTACCACTCTTTTCACATATACCTGTAGAAAAAGTCCTTTCCAATCTCCGGCTGAGGCACTGAGTGTAGAACTAAGCACTTGGGGGGAAAGGCTTACTGACGTTTAAAGGGTAAAGTAAGTAAAATTTTAAAGATAACACTTAGTATATATGCTTGCCCTAAGAATTTATTATTAGGAAATTACATAAATAGGTACAAAATTAGTGTAAAGTTGGCTTTTTAAAAGCCATTATTTTAGGCCCCCTCTGGTCTCCAGCTACCTTAACTGCAGAAATAAAGTCTTGCAAATCATCAACAGCTGTGGGACTAGGAGAAGAGAAACAGGGTGCTTCCCATACTAAGAAGCAAGACTTGAAGGAGACTGGAGCAAGACCCCAGTGAGAGCGAGATCCTGGTGGTGAGACTGTGGTATTGCTGTGGGGAAACTGTGACAAGGTGTAATCAGAGGAGCCTTGAGATAAAGGCCAAAGTTAAAAGTTTTGCTGTGCTTGCTGAATAATTAAGGAGAAGGTGACTTATAGCTACTCTGGAGGCAAAGCTTGCTGCATGATTTAAGAAAACCAGAGGCTTCCTGAATTTGTGTTGCCTAACAGAAACTGAAGCCTGGACTAAATGAGGAAATGTGCCTTGGGACTGCTGGATTTACACAGGATATTTTTTGCCTCCCCTACTCTCCAACTTTTCCCCCCAATAAAACCCATTTTCAGTACTACAACTATGAGTAAAGACTGTGCGTCAACAATGAATAAAATAATCTCTTACTGCTCGTGTAGCCCATGGGGCTGAGCTATGGGCTGTTTATCTGCTTTCTGCTCTGGGGCAGTGAGGAGCTGTGTTACTTCTCACTCCATCTGGCCCTTTCAGAGACACACTCTCATACCTGTGCCCCCATGTCCCACTTTCTGTTTCTGTTGCAACAGGCCTCATACTTCAACCATAACATGATGAAAATGTGGACACTCATTTACTGTATTTTCTTATGTTTGGTAGGAAAAAAAGGTTTTTCATGAGTTCTAAAGAACGCACATCTAAGATCTTAAGAATTTTAGAAGATTAAAATGCTCATCTACTGACCCCATTAATTCTATTAAATAAAATTAAAAACAGTACTTATTCTCATTTTGTGTTTTACGATTTTATTTATTTTAAACAGCTGGAATCACTGCTTGGTTTTGTACTTCTGCAGCCATTGGCACTCTATCTACAGCAAGATCATGGCTGGCTTCTAGGCATTCTAAAATGCAAGGCAGAGCTCTAAGTCGTACATGATACACTAAACAAGGTGAAGGATTTTAACATTTAAATAAAACCAAATCCAAACAAAACTCAGCCTTATCATGAGACCAGAACTAGAAGGTACCCAGCAAAAACTACTGACTGTTCTAACCAAAAATAAATAAAATTTAAAAAAGTCTAAGAGGAGAAAAATCAGGACAAAACTAAAAAAAAAAAAAAAAGTCTAGATTTACTGGACTAGAAGACAACAGATGGTTTCTCACCCACAGTATTATAGCCCTGAAATATTCCTTAAACTTGAAATTGAACGTATTTCCTAAAAGTTCCCCTTTCAGATAAATAATAGATTGGCTCATAAAATAAACAGTATCACTGAGGAGTACTATGCTCCTTTAAATAATCATTTATATGAAATCAAGTAGTCAATATTTATCACAAAGGAAGGTGAGAGGGTAAGCAAGTGGAGGGTAAAGAGGGACAATGAAGCCAGATTAATGCAAACTTAACAGTCAGTATAGAAATGAGAAAGCCGACACATTGTGAGGAACCCAAATGGTGTCACTGAACAATAGGTAGAGAAACTATTATTAATTAGCAGGTTAGGGAACCTGGTTTACTGTGTAAACCTTCACAAAAGAGGAAACTTAAAAAGGTTACCACTGGTGAGACTCAGACAACAGAACTCTGAAGAATATTTTTTAACCGTCACAAGTGAATCGATCATCTCAATAATAATTAAAACAAACAAAAATAGCAGCAAACTCAAAGTGTTAATGGTGAGCTTGCAAGATCTAGAAAGCATGACTAGAGGAGCAGAGTATGAGAAATGTTTGCAATGCAGAAGCTGCTAGTTAAAAGGATTTTATTAACATGTGATTTCACTACTTAATTTATAATTATACTTTTTCCTGGTTCAGTGATATAGTTCTCTTCTCCCATGTTAGAGAGACCTATGTTCAATTCCTAAATAATTCTTCTCACAAGACAATTATCACCACAGAAAAATTAACCATCAGTCCAAGTATTTTATATTGCTATAATACTGAATGGTGGATTCCTAAAGACAGTTTGAATGCACCAGCTGCCTATAAGGGAGACTGATGGGCAATCAATCGCCTCCCATGCAATCTACTTACTACCTCAGAAATCCTGCTGGAGGGCCTACTATAGGTCCGTTCCAAGAACAATAATGCTGAATTCGTTTTAGTGGTGCTTCCATACTAAGGCAGTCTACCAAGAAAGGCCTTTCAGCCAATCTACTTCAGAAAAAATCAGCCAACAAAAATTCTGTGGATCATATGGTCTAACTGCATCATGCCTGCAGCCATCAAAAAATGGGGGCCAATCTGACAGAAGCTAACCATCGAGATTCTTAAAAGGCAAAGATAGTGAAACTTCAGCTCATATACTCTGAGTATGTTGTCAGGAGTGGTCAGTCCTTGGAAAAAGACATCAGGCTGGGCAAGGGAGAATGTTAGAGAAAGAGAAGGCTCCAACAAGATGGACTGCCCCGGTGACCGCAACAATGGTTTCAAGTGTATCAGAGGTAGTAGGATGGCACAGGATAGGCTTATGTAAGGTCCAGTCAGACATGTTGTTCGTGGAGTCACTGGGGTCACTACAAGTCGGATGGACTCACTGGCACTTAACAAAAGTATATTTTCCTTCTTATTTTTCTTTTTAATGGCTGAGAGGTAGGAAGTAACCACAAACTATCAGAAAGTGTATTATTTACTATACTCATGTCTTCATTTTATATATTTGCAACTGTAAAGAAAAGAAAAAAATGTTCACACATGTGGCACTGGAATTTCCTAAAATGTCTTTTTTATCCATCGCCTTAGAGCCCCCTAACCTCCACCCAGGGTCACAGTCTCCAGCTGACTCAACTGCAGACATGGACATGGCTTGCCGTTGATCAAAATTTCCAACATCATCAACAGCTATGAGGCTTTAAGAGAAAGGTTTAACCAAACTGTAGAGAGACTGTGGCAAAACGTAGCAAGATGGATCCAGGGCCAGAGCCCTTGACACAGGAATCTTAACATCAGGAAAGAAGCAGAGAAAGCAGTGAGTGTCCTCTGAGGCCAGAGAAATCTTGCTGTTGACTGACAAAAGTTGACTGAACTAACTGAAGAACTGTGTCTTGCTGTTAACCTGCCTCAGGCCTGGTATTTACTGATCCTGGACTTTCACCGTGTGATACCCTCTGCTTTCCCCGACCGAACCTGTTTCCCTAATAAATCTCACAATTGTGAGTAAAGAGAGATTCTGTAAAGTGTGTGGTCCTTTGCACAGAATAGGGGACCAGTCATTAGATGCAGTGCGGCAGAGTTGGGGGCCATCTCTGCTCCACCTAGAAGCCATAAAGTCTTGAGTGCCAGGTTTTAATTGTAGCTCTTCTGTTGATCAGTTTACTGGACCTGAGCAAATGCTTTCTAACATCCTAATGCTGCAATTCTGCACACAGAAGAGAGAGATTACCAAAGCGATCGCTCCCTCACTGACTTCTTCCAAAACTTTAAAGGGTAGATTAAAGGAAAATTGCAGGTGAAAGCACTAGAAAACTGCCAACCTAATGTGTGCATGTTAACTCAATGAGACTTTCAACTGAAAGATTTTCAACTGAATTTTGTTGTTGTTGTTAAGTTCTATGACTTACTTTATAAGGCAGTTCTGGTGGCCTAACAGTAAGAATTTGTGCTGCCAACCCTAAGCGACAGTGCGAATGCACCACATGCTCTACTGGGACAAAGATGGACCATCACCTCCAGTGCAACTGAAAGTCCCTGCAAACCCACTGGAGTGTCAGCTATGAGTCAGTTCCGATGGCATATTAACAACAGTGGCATTATAAGCTCAAGAACAAAACAAGCTGAAAATATTTTAAATATTAGTAAGAGAAAGATTGTAGGAAGGAAGATTCTTTACTATGTTGGGACAATGCTTAAGAGGAATAATGCCTTACAAACACCAGCTGAGGTAGAATGACTACAGCAATTAAGTGAAGCTTAAGTTCCTCACAACCTGACTTGGTCATATGATACTGGATGTTACCTCCTTGCTCTCTTTATCTAACAAACTCAGAGTTAATTGGAGGCTTCAAATCAATAAGGATTAAGTATCACAATATCAAGTATCTCTTTTCTATCTTCTGAAATGCATCCCAAGTTCCTTCTCTCCCGCAGCATCCAGTAAGCACTTCCAGTAAGCACTTACGTCGATAATCGCTGCCGCACTGCTGTCCAGGTGTTTGTACAAGCCATACAATACTTCTCTCAGTTTCTTGATTGTTTTCTTATTGGGCTGAAGTAGCATTGCTTGAAAGTTCACTGGCAAGCCATACCTGGAAGAAAGCAAAAAGACAGTATACAACACAAACAAAATTAAATAAAAATATTAATATTCTCATACTGTTTTGGTCATGACTGCAGGGGAGAATCTCATTTTAATGACCACCTTTATAAGTTCAACTAACGTTGTTTTTTACCACTATGTGCTGTCGAGGTGACGACGACTCGTACACACAATAGCCCTGAACTCTGCTTTATCCTGAGCCAGTCATACTGCCTCTGACACACCTACTACCCTCATTACCCCAGTTATTGTGTCAATCTGTCTCATACTTGGTCTTCCTCTCTTATGCTGTTCCTCCACCCTTCCAAGCATGATATCCTTCTTCAAAGACTGGTCCCTCCTGGCTACATGTCCAAATTATGTGACACGGAGTCTCAAAATCCTTGCTTCCAAGGGAACAGCTTAATTTCACCTTCTCCAGGTTAGACCTGTTAATTCTCTTGGAAGTCCATGGTATATTCAATACCCTTCTCCAGCACCACAATTCAAAGGCATCAGTTCTTCTGTCATCTCTGGTCACTGTCCAGCTCTCTAATGCATGACGTGTAAATGCAAAGATCATGGCCTGGCTCAGGCGCATGTTAGTCTCTACACTGACATTCTAGCTCTTCAGCACGCTGGAGAGGTCCCTATCAGCACATTTTCTTAAGGCAATTCGTCCACACACAGAAATTCAAGCCTTTCAGTCCTCACTGTCTACGACAAATGTGTCTTCAAAATGACAGCCAATTCTCTTCATGGAATTAACTTTAATTAGTCTTCAGTTGTTAGCTATCTATGAATACTCCAAGGAAATAAGAGAACCACTTAAGCCTAAGGAAACATTCATAAGATGAAACTGTCTCCATCTACTCCAACAATTTGAAAACATTTTAAAATAATGTGTGCTGCTGTAGCAGACAAGGAACTTTACTGTTTGATTTTAAAAATCTCTCAATGCTAAAATATTTTAGGTAAATATACTAAAACTACATGTTGAAACATTTGAGAGAACTTCCTTTTTACACAAAATTCACTGAGTTTATTCTAACTCACATCAGCCTGCACAGAACCTCCACAGAGGGTTTCAAAGGCTGTAACCCTTATGGAAGTAGACATCTTCCTCCCACCGGCCAGCTGGTGGGTTCAAACTGCTGACCTTTGAGTTAGCAGGCAAATGCTTAACCACTGGACCACTAGGGTTCTCTTCTTTTAAAGAGGTATTGGCCTATCGACTTCGATCTATTTTTAATGTAAATATTACCTTAAGAGCACAGGAGCATGGACCATTTCCTGTAAACCTAACAGTAAGTAAGGGTCAAGACTAAAAGCTTTTTCTCCCTTATGATTCTGGTTAGGGAGCTCTGGTGGCGTGGCCCATAGGAAGGTGTGCTGCTAACCCAAAGGCCACGCTTCTCTGACAGTTCAAATTCCTCTGCCACTCTGCAGGGGCAAGATGGGCAATCTCCTCCTTTTTTATTTATGGCCTTGGAAACCCAATGAAGGGTCAACTACAAGTCACTTCTGACTCAGCGACACGGAGGTTAACTGTAATTACCCCTTTGGTTTCTCAATTCAACCTTCTGTTAATGGTGGTCCAGTGTAAAGGAACCTATGAACCCCTTAATCCCAATTTTCTTATTTTACCTTAAGACAGACTCAACAAAAACTCGCAATGCTTTTACATGAATCCAGGCTATGAATGCCTCACTAAAATTCACTTTCAGCCACCGCACAAGTGGTCCCTGTGAGGAAGAGAAAAAAAGAGTCAATTACCAGCAATTTAATCTTGACAAAAGCTATTAGAATAAATATTCTTAAAAAACCAAACCAAAACAAAAACGACACACACAAAAAAAACAGTCACTTAAGAACCTACAGAAGAATTAAGTCTCTTTGAAATTCACTTTAAAAACATTACTAATATTTTCATTATCTTGTATACTTTTGCTTTAAGTGAAAAGGTTAGCCATTATTCTATAACCTTAACAAATATTACAATGTACAGAACTGACATATTACATAGAAAAAGGCATTTAGGAGTACTTTAATGAAAGCTGTTTAAACTGTTATAAAGTACAGGAGTGTCAGGTTTGAAAATCAAAACCAATACTCCCACCATCAAGTCCTTCTCCAAGGAATAGCCTCTCTTAGCAATGTGACCAAAGTATGTGAAACAAAGCTTCATCATTTTTGCCTCCAAAGAGCACTTCGGCTGCACCCTCTCCAAGACATATCTGTTCGTTCTTTTGGCTGTTGATGGGATGTTCAGTGCTCTTCTCCAACACCACAGCTCAAAAGCATCAATTCTCCTGCCATCCTTACTCACTGTCCAGCTCTCAGATGCACAGCAAGCAATCGGAAAGACTACCTTTGTCCTCAAACTGTTATCATTGTTCCACAATACTTTGGAGTCCCTAACTGCAGATTTTCCCCAGTGCAATGTGTCTCTTTATTTCGTGACTGCTGTTATAAAGGGTGTTAATTGTGGATCCAAGCAAGGTGAAGTCGTTCACAACTTCAATTTTTTTCTCCATCCATCATGATGTCCAGTGGTAAGAATCTTTGTTTTCTTGACTTTGTGATGCAATCCATACCAAAGGTTACATTCCTTCATCTTCTGCAACAAGGGCTTCAAGTCCTCTTCACTTTCTGCAAGCAAGGTTGTATCATCTGCATAATGCAGGTTACTGATGAGTCGCCCTCTGATCCTGATGCCACATTTCCTCTTTATAGAGTCCAGCATCTCAAATAATTCGCTTAACATACAGATGAAATAGATACTGAGAGTGAATACAACCCTGACACACTCCCTTCTCAATGCAGTGAGAACAATACTCAATGCAGAGTTCCCCTGCTCTGTTCACACAACAGTCTCCTGGTCCAGGTATAGGTTTTGCATTTCTTATTCTTAACACATTAGCAATTCAGCTAATTCAGATACATGGACATAGCTAATCAATTTAAGAAAAAAATAGTACAATGAGCAAAAAGGCAAATAAATTTCATTAAAATATCTGTTCAGAGGGTTCCAGATCTTCCCTATCAGGCTGGTTTCACTAGACATCATTTGGTTCTTTTCTCCCAGGGGAGACAATGTGGTTTGTGGTAAAACACTGGAGATCATTCTCAAGGAATCCAGCTTTCCTTACCTTCACATCACAAGAAAAACACATTTTCACTCATCACTTGTAGTCCTCTCCATCTTCACAATAATAAGACTTTTGACAATGGAAGGAGAGGTGATTGTTGATGAGCTGGAACCAACTCGTAGCTGACCCTCCAACAGGTTTTCAAAGGCAGTAAATCACAAGGGAGGAGACTGCCCATCTTTCTCCTCCAGAGCTGCTGGTGAATTTGAACCACCTGTCTGTGAGATGGCAGCACAACTCCTTACCTCGAAGCCACCAGAGCTCCCTGAATGACAGCTGATACCACCTTCCATTTCTTCTCATTGTTCTACCACACTAACTTTTCACAAGATTTAAACACAATTGCTTCAACAAAAGACTAGGCATTAAAAATTCTGCCTCAAGAAAATGAAAATCTTTACCAAAAAAAGAAATCTATGATTTAACTAAAATAAGTACCCTACTAAAGCAGCATTAACTAGAACAAAGCATTTAAATTTTGATGAAGCTTTAAAAGGAGTGATTAAGCTTAAGGGCTGTCTTTTAGGATAATTACTCACAAAATCTAAGCTTTTTAGAAAAAAAATCATTCTCATTAGTCAATTTAAAAAAAAACACACACACACAACAAAACTGAAACACAATGTCTTCAAAGCAAAACCAAAAAAAGTTTTACTTTCTCTTAAATCAAAGCAATGCCACTTTTTCTTGTTCTCAACACTGATAATATTAAATATTAAGAAGACATACAAACTGCTTTTTCTTGTCAGTAGAAAGCCTGTTCATTTCTTCTTTATCTGCTTTCATCTCCTCTTCATTGTACTGGAAATCACGCACGATGAATCTAGATTTTGGGGGGAAAACAAAACTGTCCAAGCTGTATCTGGTTGATTTAACAGATTCAAAACCAACAACAGCAGCAAAACCAATCTTACTTATTTTCCCTGGCTTTGTGCCTGAAGTCGTCAACTGCCTTCCTGAACAAGGTAACATTACAAAGGTAACTGTCCTGGTCTTCTGAGAGAACACTAGGAGGAGAAAAAAAAGTTCATTTAAAGATTTTGCTCCTTCACAGAAAAGCAAAAAAATAATACACAGGGAGGAAGAGGTCCAACAAGGTCTAATAGTACCTTTGTTTCTATAGCACACATATGCATGTGTAGTGTCTCAAATACTGAAGACATTAACTCAACTCTAAAGCCCAGGACTTCCAACCTCTGTCAGTGAGTGCCAGGCTGACTGAGGCAATGCTGTTTAGAAAGAAGCTCATATCCAGAGTCTCTTTTCTTCCTTGGGAAACACTCGCTACTCTTCTGGAAAGGAACTCTGGTGGCATAGTCCATAAGGAGCTGTACCACTAAGCAAAGGACACGGCTCTCCAGCGGTTCAAATCCTACAGTGGCTCAGAGGGAGAAATACATGCAGTCTCCTCATGTGCAACTTACAGCCTCGGAAACCCAAAGGAGCATCAACTACGAGTCGGTTCCACCCCACGACAATGGATTTCTTTTCCAGAAGGCTATTTCTCTCTCTAGCTCAGCCCAGCCCCAGGGAGCCTGAACGCACCTTTTCTATATTATCAGAACCTCATACCATACCTGTTTCCTTTTCTCTCACTAATGTTTTAATTTAAAAAATTGCTACCCACATCTGTCTAGACAGCCTCGGACTATACACACTTTTTAGTATCTCAGGAGTCATTCAACTCATTAGAAAGTACAGACAGAGTCAGAACTGCCAACTATCAGCCTGCAGGCTTCATCTGACAGAGCCTTCCAGAAAAATTACTTAAGAGCTCCTTCTGTATAGGAAACCCAGTGTTCAACAGCTGACAGTCTCACGGGAGAAAATAATGCCTGGAGGTGGTGAGGGTCCCTCCTATTTATCTTTCATGTTTGTTCAATGCACTGTTTTTTAATGATTCTGCTTAAACATAATGCACTATTTTTATTAATAATGTGTTAGTTCCACAATCAAAAAGTACATAAAAGTCTTATAAAACTGAGAAAATGCTTATAGAATTATAAAATACTTTGTTAAACATTAAAAAAAAAGAGAGAGACAGAAAGAAAAAGCTAGCTTAGTTCTCCCAGGACATTCAAGAGGCAACTATGATACAAGCCCCTTCTCAGCTCAGCAGAGTGTCCCTGCAAGTATTTCATGGGGTCCTGGTCATGGGATCACTGACATGCAGAGTAACTATGCTGGATTTATAAGGGTTAAGCCTCCTTTCAAAATGTGCCTTTCTCAAATCTAGGACCCCTACTTCTTTTTTTTTTAAGTTTTAAAAACAGTAATATTTACTTAAGATGGAAAAAGATGACTTTCTAAATCAGTCTGCTGCCCTAGTAGGAATGTCTAACAATTACTGGAGCATTTGGTAGCCATTTCTACCTACTGGCAACGTGACTACAATATCTCAATTATCGCTATTTAATAAAACGGTTTTCAATGTAAGGGTCCTTGTGGAAGCAGTGGAGGAAGGAACACTGGCAAGGAGGCAGAAAGCAGGCCGGTCGGTGCTTTAGGAGTGAGGCTCCGAGAGATGCAGGACCCTGGTCCCAGGTGTGAGGTGGACGGCTGGTCAGCTACCTTGGCTCCAAAGGGGAAGAACACACTTGGCAGGATTGGATAAGAGGGCAATACGGCAGCCCCCAGAGCAAGTCTCTGGTTTTCACTCCCACATGGACGTGATTTCCAGACTTCAGCAAGGTCTCCTGAGGAGGATCTGCTTTCCATCGTGTAGTAACGACAGAGGAAGCCAAGGAGAACAGCACTGATGATGGGTAAAACCCAGTATGACCAGCAACTTTTGCAGACGTTATTTCCGGAGTGTCCTTGTTTGGTTTTGTTTTAAGGTCACTCGGATAGACATCACCAACATAGCACTGTTTCAGCATTTCTCTGGCATTAGAGGAGCGGCCTACATCTTCAAAACTTTCACTTGCAGCTGCACCTGCTTGTTCCAGAAGCACTTCCTCTCCACCGGGTTGCTCTTCAAGGAAGCGGGTGAAATCGCAGACTCACCAATGCATCATCATGCGTATTTCCTTCGAGGAACTGCACTTCGCCATCTCCTCCAACCGGTAACAGGTGACAGCGGACTCACCTTCTTACCCTTTCCCATCACTGCCACTGGCATCGGCAGTTGCCATGCGTGCACAGAGACTCTTCACCGCTACCTGGGTTTCTGCCACTAACTTCCTTGGGCTGAATCCCGAGCCTAGGACCCCTACTTCTTGCTCTCACTGCCTTGTGACTAAAAGGCAGTTAGCAAGTGGACAGAATTCAATTATAAAACTTTTTTTTTCTTTTATGAGGGACTGATTCAGTGATGTACAAATTGGCTAACATCAAAACAAATCCAACTTGACAGGCAATTTCTAGACCCCAAACCAGTATTCTACCAATATCATATTAAGCTTTAAATATATACAGTCCTATGCCGTTATGAAGGCCCTTTCAAAAGCATCTGATGCTTGGCACAGCCATTATCAGTGAACAGGGGTCTGTTACACAGACCCTCATCTATCCTAGGGCAGAAAGATACAAGATGTTAACTCAAAATCTTTAGGTTGAAAGAAGCCAAGATAATAACTTAGATTTTTAAAAATCACTGTTTTTCCTTTCTCTCCAACATAAAAAGCAGATGAACAAACTCCAGTCTTAAGTATAAGAGATTTTCTTTCTGTCATTTAGAACACAAAGAAGATTAATCAGAACTGGCTTTGACAAGCACCGTGGCATTTGGACAAGAACAAACTGGGAGGAGGGTAGAGAGAATAGTGCAACAATGAATGAATGGAAACCCAAAATCTCTGTAAATGTTTATGAAAATTAATAAAATATAGAAAAAAAAGCAAAAAAAAAAAGAACCTCTGTTCTGTGTCAAGTTCTGGCTAAATATTACAAATACCACTAATTAAACACGTTTCTTGACCTCAAGGAGATACGTCTATAAGAAAATTCTATTATACATAAACAAAGTACAACGATAGAGCTCTCAGCACATTATTAAATCTGTAAAAGCTGGAACTTGTGTAAAGTGGAAACCAAACAGAGAAGAATAAAAAGGAAAAAATTTTCCACTCAAAATATTTCTATTTAAAGAGCAACAGAAAAGTGGTGGCTGCATCCTGTCAAAGGCAGAAAAGTTGCAAGACTCAGAAAAATAAAGTGGTCCAAAGTTCTGGCGCTCACAGGTTTCTCTGTGTTATACAAGACAGCTGTGGTCTATTGGGGTAAAAAGGAAATGAGTAACTTTGGGTGAGGGTAAAAGAGGTTAATACCAAGTGGAAACTGAAAGACAAAGGAGAGAAAACAATTACAGGCAGACACCTGCAAGCACGTGAGTACAGGCAGTCTTCATGCGCTTTCACGGGGTATTTGAAGAAGTACTGCAAGAGAAAAGTACAGCAAGAACACAGCAGATGGGGGTTGGGGGTACGGGAGGGGGGGTGCTGAGGGGAGGCAGGAAAAGTTAGGGAAGGCAGGGTCTTAAGTGGGATTGACAAACAAATTTGGGTCTCTTAAAAAGAAAAAGGATGGGAGAAGGATGGGCAATCTCCTCCTGTGCGATTAACTGCCTGTGAAAGCCTGCAGGAGGGGTTAGCTATGGGTTGGTTCCAACGCCATAGTATACAACAACAACAACAAGCAAAGAAGAAAATGACAACAATGGGAAGGGCTGAGAAGAGAGGGACATAATGGAGAAAAGACGTTAATGGCAATTACAAAGACCCCAGGAGGAGATGACAAAGTTTAAACTGAAGCAGCTGTAGTCAACACCTGGAGGGGTGATGGGGAAAACAGCTTAAAGTCAGTTGAAACATGAAATTATTCATAGCTGACCATTTGTGATCTAAGAAACAATTATTTCATATGGTCCAACCGAATACAATGGAAGGTAGAAATGACAATCGATAAGATAAAGAACTAAGAATTCAACATGACTGATTATCATACCACTAGTTTAGAACACCAGGTAGACAGTGTTCCACATGCTACAAGGCCGAGATTAGCACTGCAGTGATAATGTTGTAGCATCATTGGTGGCTAGCTACAGGGCATCTGCATGCAATGTTCTAGTAGGGACCAGGTTATATGGGTCCAAAGCTATGGAGGAAGGGGAGGCCAGAAGGATTAAGGCAATGGGTGTGGATGAAACAGGCTAAGAACAGACTGCTTTGTTGAAATGGAATCGCCAGGAGTGGCCAATATTCAGGACTAGTGAACTGTCTCAAGCTCACTCAAGCAATCCAGTCATTGAAGACAGGCAACAAAAGACAGACTCAGTCAAGTGTTCAAAGGTTCCAAGGGGCTAGAGGTAAAGGGTGCTGTGGAAAGAATGGCTGAAGTGATGACTAACAAGTCTACTCAAAGAAAGGAAATAGGATTCAAGAGAATCAACAAAGGGTTGGGGAACTGTAGATGTCAACAAGGTTAAGAGTGGGCCCAGTGGAAGAGAATAAAGATGGAGAAAATTTCTTGGTCCACAAGCTAGATTACAGGTAGGATTTCAGAGGGAGAGCCTTTCTAGTGGTTGGGAGTTAGACAAAGGAGAAAGCAGCAGACATCAAGTGGGGGTGACACTGTATGGGCTGCAGGTACCAGGGAGCTGAAATGTCAATGCTGCATGGACTCCAAAGCAAAAAGCCAGCAGTGATCTTAAATGATACATGAAACCGCATACAGAAACAAAATTAACACCACAAGGAAGGTAGAAACCTCTTTTAGTAACTAAGTATAGACTTGAATCCTAGAGCTGTAGTTGAAAGAGGCCTTAGTAGAAATAAAAAGTTCTATTAGTTTCAACAAAATAACCCCAAATCTCTCCTTTTACTCCTACTGTTATGCAGAACTAGTAACGCTATCTTCTAGTAGATGCACCTCAGCCCATAGGAAATGAAAATTCAATTGCCAGTCAATGTTTTTCAGATATTGAGGCACCAACATACATCCATGTGACTATTAGTTTACGGAGCCTCCCACTGGTACTGGACCTCTTTCCTAAGAACTGCCATCCTCCCCACCCCCAATGTGTTTCGAATGCCTTTCTTCATAAAACTCTTATTTTCAATGGATGCTGTAAAACACTAGAAATATTTTTCTCCACACAAAGGCATTTTTCTCCCCCAGACCTTCCTGGTTAGTTCCCAGAACAAAAACCACTGTAACACACCAATGAGTTTGTGGTATGTTCCAAAGGCTGAGAACTTGCATGAAGTCAGTGTATATATGAGTCATCCATAAAACAAATATTACCTGTATTGAATGTTACTGTCCAATATACCATTTCCTTTTAAATTTACCAATGATTTTCAAAAGATTTCAAATTCTTTTTTCAACTTGTTCCTCAGCATTAGTATCAATTTACTGCCTCTAAGTTTTCTCTCTAATCTTTCCAACTGCTATTACCAATTTGATTCCATATCAATAGATCTTTAAAAATACAATGTTTAAAGCAGACATTCTTTACTGATTAAGTTAAACTGTGGTTTGGTTTTAAGACAACTTCAGGGGATATTTTTGGTTTAAGGTTGAAACATTATCTCAGGACAATGCTTTTTTGGGGTTCATCCAGTCTACATGGGTCTAGAAATTCTAGATTCCGTGAGAATTTAAAATTCTGTTGTGTCATCCCCCCACCTTTAAGTCACGAGTCTTCTACATAATCTTTAATCACAGCATGCAGTAATGGCAGCTAGACACTATCCAGTTCTGGTCTCGTGGCTAAGAAGATAGCCTGTTCATGGAAGGAGCTAGCCACAAATTCCATTTCTTCTTCCTGTTTCAGACTCATTTCCTCTGCTGCTTCAACTTAAATAGTATTCTCCCATCCCAGGCTTCAGAAAATGTTTACTACACAAAATAATTTTTTGAAGAATAGTTTTTATAACAGAATTTCACCCTGTAGCAAGAAAGTAATAAAGAAAAAGTTTACACTCAGGAATACATACTAAGAATTTTTTTCAGTTATTTCAAGACGAAGGGTACCATCCTCTAAGTAACCAACAGAAAGAAATTTGTACAACAAATCTCATATTTGCTTTCTAAGAATTTCTTTGAATCCAGATCCCACGGCCCTTGGTTTGGACTAACATGAAGGATGCCAAGCATCAAAGCAAAATGGAAACCCTTTTCTGACAAGGCAAATGTTCAGTTCTGAGCTCCCTGAAGCAGTCAGTATCCAAGTGAACTTAACAGGCAAGAGTGAAAAGCATCTTTAAAGCATAACCATCCACTAAGTATGGTCTACTGCTTCATCGCCTCTTCTCAAGGAAGAGGAGAGGCTTTCAATTCTGTCCAGGCTTTTGTTTACTGAGCGAGTGGTGACAAATGTCTCTTTACTTGAGGGCTTCCAGAATATAGTCCAGGCACTTGCTTTCTGGATGACATGCAGGCCTGGAGCATCTACCAAGTGATAAAAAGCCAAGTTTCAAGAATTAAAAATGGACAGTGTCAGTCACAATCCTGAGTCCTAGGAAGGAGGTAACGGGGTATTCAAACAAAAGATGATAAAAATAATGTCTACACAATTTTTGGCAGGGCTTGAAGGTGAAAATGAAATTTTCAACCATGAAAGGCATTCACCGTCACTCAGAGGCTGGGCTGTCTGCCTAGAGCAGGGATTGACATGGAAATCCAATTCTACTGACGGTCTATTCATGGTGAATGGCAAAACACATGATAGAACAGAACATGTGAGTACTTCTCTTTCGAGGAAAATAGCTCTTAGAAGAGAGCCTGAGGTTATAGAGTTAGTTCTTTATTCTGCCTATTCAGCCATCCAGAGCTTGAAGGTCCTGTCATATGGGCAAGTGGCTATTAGTTGCCTGTCAGAAGAAATGTCCAGGCCCATCACTTCGCCCTTGTGGCCAGCCAAAGTCTTCAGTGGAGACCAGCCTGGGTGGGTCCAGATCTTGGCAGTGTTATCACAGGCTCCAGTAAGTAAGAAGTTACCGTGGATAGGCTCAAACTTGACACCAGTCAGTAAGTTCTGATGGGCAGGAATATGTTGACACAGCGTCGCTGTTGAACGTCCCATACTTTGCACATGTTGTCGCCACTACCAGTTGCAATGTGATAGCCGTTAGGAGAAAAACTGATTCCATAGATTTCCTTTAGGTGGCCTTCGAGGAACATGATACACCGTCCAGTGCGCAGGTCCCAAACTCCACCAAAGGCATCTAGTCCCCCAGTGCCAGCCAAAGAGCCATCTGGACGGAAGGCAATATCATACACACCCATGCTGTGGCCTTCCTGGTGCAGGATCTCCTCTTGAGCCTCCAAATCCCACAAAGCGCCAATGAACGGTCATAGCAGGTGGTACCCAAAAAATGTCCTGAAGGATGCCACACGCACAGTATGGCCTTCAACATCTGCCACTGGTTCGTCATTGTCAAGGTTCCAAAGCTTCACAGAACCGTCAGCAGCACAAGAGGCCAGGTTGACATCTTCTTGGTCCAGAGAGACTATGGACTTGGGATGGAATACAATCTCTCCTACATTTGTGTTAAGAAGAGTGTGAAGAAGGTTGCAATCAGTAGCAGACCAGAGCTTACAAAGCGCACTCCAACAAGCTGTGGCCAACATTTTAGAGTTAGGACTAAAGTGACAGTACGAGATAGGCCAGTCATCCCCAATCTGACTGCAGAAATTAATCAAAGATTGAAGAGATTTGTGCAGCTCTTGCGTCTGAGAGGTCCTAGTTGTCTCAGGAATCTCTTTATGGAGACAAGCCTCTTCCAAGCGTTTCATTGCCCTGGGAAGTGAATAGTTAGCAAACAACAGCCTCACAACCTTTGGGCTGTTTGGTCCTTCATGATACCACGTTTGCCGATACTCTTCTTTGGATTTCATAGACTTTTCATCATCCTTTTTGGTCTTTTTTTTCATTTTTTCCTTTCTGGTCCTTTTTTTAAGGCATCAGTACCAGCCACTGAAAGGATATTTCTTAATCTTTCTCTTCAGTCAGGTGGGCCCGCTCCAAAAAGTTTGATGGGTTCTCCTAATGCTCTAAGGCAAGCCTTGACCTCAGAGTCATCTGTAGAAATGTTGACTTGCTGGGCTTGCTTCCTCCTCTCAGACTCTGCCAATACTTCTGCTTGTCGCTCACTGATGTGCTCAACTTCAAATACTTCTCCAGAGGTTATGTTAATATTCCCTGCTTCGATTCCTGCTTTAAGTCCTTCTTTCCCCAAAATTCCAGACTCTCCTTTGGCAAGACATTCCCTCTCCTTTTCTTCCAAACTTCCATAGGAAATGTGGGGTTTCTTTACAAGAGGAGCAACTAAGTCATCAGGCACCTTAGAGGTTTTAGTTGCCGTGAGAAGCCATGCTGGAAGCTGGCGACGCACAAACTCTAGCGAGAAAAACTGAGCTTTATGTTCAAGACTGCCTACCACGCACTTAAATAGTATTTTTAAAAGTTGTTCTTTTGGAACAAACCTGGACCTATTTAACCAACCCACACAATACTTACCTGAAAATCTGGCTCTGCATATTATATGTAAGTACAGGGGACATTCTATGTGCACCGAGTCTTTACTCTCCTCCTTCACCTGCTACCCAGACACAGAGTCAAGCTCTTGGCTTTCATCCTTTATAGGACACAGGTGAGAAGTTAACATATGTCAGGGTAAATCACTTAAGTGCAAAGTTATCAAGGTAGAACCTTGGTCTTCGGTGTAGCTAGTTTAAACACACAGTAGTCCTCCCCAAAACTGAGAATAACTCAAGACGAGCACAAGTTTGTTGTTTAGTTCTAAAACACTATTGTTTGTGAAACTTTCTTGACAATTGCAGAAGTTTAGATTTTTCATCCCCTACCAAGTCTTAAACATGAAATATACTGGGAAAGTATTGTGTTCACTTTACAGATAGAGAAAATGAGGCCCAGAGAAGGTAAAAGACTTACCCCAGGTCACACAGCAAGTTGGTAGCAGAACCAGCAATAGAACTCAGTTGCCTGGGTCCAGGACTCTTTCCATTATACTAAGCTACCTCCCACATGACACAATGAAACTGGAAAAGAAAATATTTCATGGGCCTGGCCTCACTAATATCACCTCTTCACTATCCACTATACTTTCCTGTCACCAGGTTGCTTCCTCCTGAGGCACGTACGTATAAAAGAATACTTTGTGGGCTGTAAATACACTATTATTTCCATATTTTTCCAAAGAACATCTCATGTGGCAATGACAGATACAGGAGCAAACAACTCACACAGTCAAGAGCAGCACAGGATCTGGAGTTAAGAGGCCTGACTTCTAGTTCTAACTATGCCGTCGGGCACACACTCTCATCTGACTTAGGCAACTATTTACACCGCTCTCTGTTGTGACTTCCTCTTTAGGACGAGTAACTGCCTAAACTACTCCACAGAGTTGTAAATATCAAATCAGACAGTCTATGATAAAATCTTAAGTAGAAAGGGGCTTCACAAAAGTTGGAGATTTTTTTTTAGGAAAGATAGACTTACGTAATTTTATGCTCACTGCAAAGTGTTGGTGAAGAGGTAGAGGCAGATGAGGACCCCAACAGAATATTCTAGTAGCTAATCTGCAGTACTCCTTTTGCAAGGTAAAATGAGGAAGTACAGGCAGCAAGCAGACATGTAATGAGTACTGAACGAAAAATTCTCAGAAGGCAGCAGAGTGCAGCTGAGTAAGTTACTACACCAGGGACCTGGATTCCAGCTCTGGCCCTGCCACTAGTGACATGTGTGACTCTGGGCAAACAACATCATCTCTGTGGCTTCAAATTTCTACATCTATAAACATGCGTGGGGCCGGCAGACTGGGCAGACTCTTCCAGATCTAGAGTCAGGTAACCAGAGCTAATGGAACTCCCTGATTTGCAAGGTGAAACCAAGAGTTCTAAAACTCTATATTTACTGCAAAATAAAGAGAGTCAAGATATTTCCTAAGCCAAGCTATTAAAGGAGTTCTAGGAAATAAAGTGTTTTACAAAGATGACTACTTACTTGCTAGATCTTGGAACTACCATTTCAGCTAGTGTTTCATACTGCTTCATCCAATCATTGTGGTTCAACCTATGGGAGAAAGTAGAATAAGCATTGGAGAAGAGTAAGTACTCCTACTTTTTGCCATATATAGAATTTTTTTTAAAAGGGACATATGGATAATTCAGCTATAACAGACATATTTCAAATGTGGGGGGAGGGGAATTCTTCAAGTTTCCTACTGAGACTCAATTCCAAATGCACTAAGCACATACATATATAGTTTCCCACCCTCTCACATAAAGTTAACATTTGCAAAGGAGATACAGCCTCAGAACAAAGCTTGAAAAGTAACAAAGCTAAGTTTAGATCTTAAATTACTTTCAAATGTTACGGTTGATATAAAGTATCCTATTCAAGAAAAGAAAAAGACAATGTTGAAATCGCAATCATTTCTACTATGTAGTCACAATTAAGGGTTAGATAAAATTGTATTTACTGAAAGTACAGAGTACCAGGAAGTGTTATGTAAATAGTGAAAGTAAACACAGTTGCCAAGAAACATTATGCAACAACCTTCGTAGAGGATAATAGTTTCTGAGCTATGAGGGTGTCTCATCATATATCTAGAATAGCAGTGTTAACAGGACAGGACAGAGAATAATGCAACACAGAAAACTATCTTGGAGGTCCCACTTTATTTCTGGTAAATAGAAAACTATAATCACTTCTACTTTGAAAAAGAAATTTTAAATAACAGGTTGGACGAGACAAACTTTTTATCTCGGCAAAACGTTTTCCCTTTATCATATAAATACAGAAACGTTGTTGTTGTTGTTGTTGAATACCATTGAGCTGGAACTGATTCTTAGCTGACCCTCTGGTAGGTTTTCAGCAGCGGTTAGTCTCACAGAGGAGACTGCCCATCCTTCTCCTGTGGAGCAGCTGGTGGATTCAAACCAGGTGCATTCAGTATTGCAGTGGTTCTTACCACCAGACCTCTCTAAATACAGGAATAGCTACTTAGTGTTCTAATGTTGAAGGGAAAAGTTACGTAGCTAAAACACAAACTTTTAGAACCAAACAGGTTGGTTCTAAGTAGAGCCATCCTTCAAATGTAAGGAATAATGTAGAAGCTCTAAACCCAAAGAACCGTGGAAGTCAAAGGTAACTGCAGCACTGTGAATTTCACATAGCTGCCTCTGCTACCCCTTTCCAAGCAGCATCTTGATGTTTTCAGTATTGTTTCCTAATCATGTAAAAATTTAGGGCACAGAACAGACTGGCTTCACGCAAGGATGATCCAAGGCCTGAGATTGCCCACATGTCTGGATCCCCAAAATTCCCTAAGATTTACAGCTCCACTCCTCACACTGAACCCCAATCTTTGTATGAATATGAATGTTCCAAGGCTTCATCTTACCTGCTCAATGATGCTAAAAGGTTAACAAGGAAGACCTAACAGAAAGGGGACATCAAGGGCTATCTAACCTACAGGTTGACAAACTATGTGCCCAAAGGCCACAGCTGTTTTTGTAAATAACGTTTTACTGAACTACAGCCACAATCATTCATGTACATACATCTATGGCTATTTTCAACTACAAAGTAGTCGACTTGAAACATAAACCATATGCCCTGCAAAGTCTAAAATATTTACTATATTGTACTTTACAGGAAAACTTTGTTAACCCCTCATCCAACCCACACTTTGCTACTTACAGGGCTAAATGAATTCTAAGCACTTCTACCAAGTCAATTCTGATTCACAAAGGACAGGACAGAAGTGCTTCAAAGAATTTCCAAGGCTGAAATATTTATGGAAAGAGATGATCACATGTTTCTCCCAGAGCAGGCAGTGCGTTCTAACTTCCAAACTTGGTTATGAGATGTGTTCTTAACCACTGCACCACCAGGGCTTCGAATACATCAGAATGAGTATAAAGACTTAGAGAAAATAAATACAAACACTTTACTGCTTTAAAAATCTAAAAATCTATATTTTTTTTAAAAAATAATATTTACTTTATTTTAATGGGTCAACTCTACCAAGTTAAATAAATTTTATTTGCAATCTCCACTTAAAATAGATAAATTCATTACCAACTTGTGAATGATACTCAGTGTCACACAAGTCACCCTGACTGGCAGAATCAACGATAAGGTTACATTTCCTTGACTCTGAGGTTTTATGAAAAATTTCCAATTGTAATACAAGATACTAATATTTTTCTTCTATTTTCACAATTAAAAACCTTTTTCTAACAGAAAGACATACTTTGGAACAACCACCAATAATGTGACGAGATATTCTGAATCAAGAACAAAGTCATCCTTCTTCACAATTTCTGCTAGGCTTCGCGTTAGTAAACTTCCCCTGGGGAGTAAGAAAAAAAAAATCATTACGTCAATAATTATGTGTTATAATTATGTAAATAATTATGTGTTGCTATTGTTGTTATTATGTGCCATCAAGTCCCTTGCGACTCATAGCGACCCTATGTACAAGAGCCCTAAACCCTGCCCTATCCCTTGCCAATCTTATTGTCTCCGACACATCTAGCCATTTACTAGAATAAATATTTATAAGGCTACTCATATTCACACATATATTTATAAAAGGGTGTAAAAATCATTCTTGGTTAACATTTGTATTGCATTAAGAAGTCCAAATTTAGCTACTTCCTATCCCTGCAATCAAAAACATGTCAATCAAATTTAACAGAAATTATCTCTAGACTCTCTTTTTGTTGGTTTTTAGAATCTCCTTTTGTAACTGGTTTACATCCACTCCTCACTTGGTTATTATCCAAATACCAGGTTGTTGTGCAAAATCAGTTATGCAAAAATAGGACATGACCACATGAGATCACAAAACAGAGATGGGAGAAGAGTGCCCATCTTTTTCCCACAGAGCAGCTGGTGTATTTGAGCTGCGTGCTCAAACTGCCTAACACTGAGAATCATGTCCCTGCCAAGCTGAGACGTAACCTTAACCATCGTGGCCAGAGCTACCTTGGCGTTCATTACTGTCACACGTATGTTAAATCATTAGTGGACAAACGAGTGGGACAGTAAATTTTTAACTAGTGTCATAAATGTGAAAAAATGGGTATTGAGACAGTTGAAAAGTGAGGAGGAAGTGTATCTGAGCTGTTTTTCTCTTGATTACAGACATAACATCTTGTCTGAGAAAGCGCTATTTGTTAAGCATCAATTAAAAGTCTACTTCACGGAATGATTCCACCTGAGCATAGCCTTTGGTTTTCCTCCCTCTGCCGGTGTATCATCTGACAGCAGGCAATTTAGGCTGGTTAACCCAATAATCTCCTCTTTCTAGTTAAGTCTTCCAGGACAGAATTCAACCAATACTCAGCTGGGAGAGGAACACTGAACAGTCCAGTTCTTACAGCTTCCCTCTTAGTAACAACTCACTCACTGCTGTCAAATTGGAACCACCTCATAGTTGACCCTCTCTGAGTCTCGGAGCCTATAAATCACCCAGGAGCAGAACGCCCGTCATTTTTCCTCACAGCTGCTGGTGGATTTGAAACATGAGAGAGGCTGAGCCTTTGGGTGAGCAGCACAAATCCCTACAGACTACGGCACCCACATCAGAACTGTCCCATCGAACAAAATCTACTGTGGGAAAACTGAAGTCTGGCAAACAGGTAAGTAGAGAATGATTATTTACATCATCAAAGTGAGAGGTCTTCTACAGAATTCTGTTAAGGATCCCTGGTGGCACAATGTGTAAGTAGCTGGCTCATAAGTGAAAAGTCGGCAGTTGGAACCAACCAGGCAATCCACGGGAAGAACATGTGACAAGCTACCTCCATAAAGAAACCATGGAAACCCAATGGGAATTCTACTCTGCCCTATAAAGTTGCTACGTTGAGTTGGAATCAACTCCACATCAAGTTTAGTTTTTGTGGTTTTTACAGAATAGATTCTTTTAGGCAACAGACACTAAAGTAACCTATGATTTGAAACAATTACATTGCATTTAGACCAATTTTCAGTGAAACCCAAAACATGAAATCAAAACCTAATTTTATTCATACATGGAGCTCAGGTGGCCAAGCAGTACGAAATGATGCTGCCAACCCAAAGGCACGCAGCTCAAATACACCAGCTGCTCTGTGGGAAAAAGATGGGCACTCTTCTCCTGTGCAATTTACAGACTCTGCAAACCCAGTGGAGGGTCTGCTAGGAGTCA